TGGTAACAGACTTTCTGCCTGTAATGCCATGGCGATGCCTTCCGCTCTGTGTTGATACAGCAGCCAAGTTTGGGTCCCAGACTCAGGAACTGAACATTTCTCTTACAGCTGTGGGTCTTATGGTATGTGGTAATAAGCATTCATAGCTATAAAGAAACAGAAAACCTGTATGTATATGTGTGTGTATACACACATGCACGCACACACACATTCAGTTTCTTAAATTAAATTTTTGGAGATCTGTACTTTTGGTTAACAGTTGATGGTTGACTTTCAGTACATTGGTATTAGAAGGGGGATTTGTGAGTGTCTCACTTTATCATCTTCCTCTCTTACAGGTAATACTGTGATGCGTGTGGGAGTTAGCTCCCAAAAATTTATAAAACTTCTACCGTATCTGTTTCAGATATGTTAACAAGTGTGTGGTTTAAGATCCTTCCAAAAATCGGAGGTTACAGTCATCATGACTCATGTATAATACGGTTTTTTCATTATTTTTCAGTGGAACATATCAGATTATTTCTATCAAAATCAAGAGAAACTGTGTCAGTCTTTGTCAGGAGATCCAGCGGTGTTTCCCGACTTTCCTGGAACACCAAATATGCCACCATTTGATAAACTTTGGATGTGCCTTTATGCCAGGTTAGGTGAGTATTTGTTCCCTGGGTTGTAGTTTGTGGTAATAATCTGTTATATTTGGCGTTTGGAGAACATGAGTTTTGTTTCTTTTCTTTTACGTTTACAAAAGGAAAACATCTACTTCATTTATTTGCATAATTCTCTCCTTTTCAGCTGAAGTCATGCCAGTGTAAAGCACGTCTGTAAATGTGAGATTTGAGGTATTTACAGATGTGAATATTGGTCTTCTGGGTTGTTGCACTTTGTAGTATTTTAGCCGTGTGCAGAATCCTACATGGTGCAACAACCCAGAAGATCATTCATGTCTACAAAGATTTTATATGTTTTGTTGGTTAACAATTGTTACAGTTTCTGTGTATTGAAGTTCAATGGTAATAATACACTGAGGTAAGCTGAAGGTGAAGTAATTTTGGTATGAAAAAATGGTGGGAGGGTAAATTATACAATTGTTAAGTAGTGTGCAAATGGTAGGTATTGAACTTGTTGTGACACACAAAAGAATGGAGAAAATGGAATAATTTTCTTTGTAGTGATGTACCCAGGAAAGTATCATACAAAAGAGTATCATATTGGTTCAGAGGTATCAGTATTGCCACTTCTCACTGGAAACTTTTGTATGATTTATGCACTGGAGGATTTTTGTTCATTGCTTTTAATGTATTAGTATAATAAGTTCATTCTAAACTTAATTGTTTAAAAATTATGGAAATATTATGTTTTTAAACAAAGAGTTGTATTTTTCACGTCTGCCTTGGTTGTACATAATTTTTACTTCTGTCAGTAATATTTGTTGTTTCTGCATCATTTGCTGTTATCACTTCAACATTTTTAGTAGGAAGTTTGTTTGCTTTCAAATATTCATGCGATATTGTCATTTGAATATGGTTTTACTTTTTTCATTCATCTGAGAAAGATGGCTATTACAGGTGATTTGTGTGTTGACTCACGGCCGGCTGTGCGCAAGTCTGCAGGTCAGACTCTGTTCTCCACCATCTCAGCACATGGAGGACTGCTCCATCAACCGACTTGGCAAGCAGTTCTATGGCAGGTAAGTATATAATCAGTGATTCCAAGATAATTACTTTGTCCACCCAGATTGTTCACAGCTCTCTGGAAATGAGCCAGAAATTTCTGTGTAAAACTATAGGTAATGAATTCTCAATTGTAAAATATTTATGTGGCTAATGTGCGAGGTAGACCTTAAATGAATGCAAATATTATAATTACTTGAGTAAGTGTTTGTCACAGCATGGCCATTTAAATGAATTGACCATATAATGTGATTAACAAGCAATTGATAGATACATTCTTACATTTGTGGTGGCATAGATCACCTGACTGCAACTTTTGTAATATGTTTGTGATGTAAATTGAGTATTTTATTAGTCTTAATATTTTAATTTCATTTTTATGTCACATCAACCCTGATATTAGGAGCAGATACAGTCTCCAGAATGTTGGATTTTAGCATAATGCTCTTCATGGTTGATCACCTGAAGAGACATCATTGCAATTTTGTCAAGCTCTTAGTAACACATATCATGCATTCTCAAACACATTTCATACACTAAAGAAGCTGTTATAAACTACTGTTTTGTGGGCCCATCATGGTGAACATGTCAGTTGCCTAAGTTGTGATGGCAGTAGTGATTGAAGATTGTATTGTGTGTGTCAAGTTTACTTTCTCGCTTTAGGTTCTGTTCAATTGAAGATTGTATTATGTGTGTCAGGTTTACTTTCTCGCTTTAGGTTCTGTTCCCACTGTTGGATAAAGTACGAAGTCTCTCAAGTTCTGCAAGCAATGAAAAAGTGGATACAGGAGGAAATATTCTGATCCATCATTCCAGAAATACTGCACAGAAACAATGGGCAGAGACACAGGTAAATGAGATCCTGTATCTGATTTTTATTCATATGCAACCAGTTCAGTGTTTGAACAGTTTTGAACTTAATTTACATTTGCTTAAAGGCAGGTTTACTTTTCATATTTAACCTGGATTGCTGGCTGGCACTATTTTGACTAATGTATTGGTTCTTAAGACAGAAAATCATCCAAAATTTTATTCTGTGGACGAAGCTTTAAGTAGCGAAAATTGTTGTAAACATTTTGGATGATGGTTTTCAGCACTGAGATGCTGTGTGGACTCATAGGGGGTACCTTTGTTTTTGAGGAAGATAGAGGCAGTATGTTCCTCCAAAATGTTGGAATATACTTACAGGTCCACATGGCATCACAGCCCAGAAAACAACTTTGATGTCATCAACGCAATGGGAATCTCTGTTCTTCACAATTTTATCCATGTGCTGTGGGAAACACACATACGATACGTGTGTATGTAGATTTGTTTCTGATCTCAAACAGCCTACTTTTATGCTTCTTTGTTTTCAAAGTGAACAAATGCAGCCTGGCCCATTTAAGTACTTTGAATTTATCTTAAAATCATAGTGAGATGACAAGGGTAACTGGTTAATTTCATATGTATTTAGAAATAAGGCAATAACTTTGTATATCAGTGTGTGTCTTGTTAAACAACAGTGATTTGTTTATGCATTGTCTGTTACAGGTTTTGACATTGTCTGGTGTAGCGAGAGTGTTCAATACAAAGAGACAGTTGCTTCAGACACTTGGTGATTTTCCTCGTGCCTGGTCTCTACTGCTAGAGTTTATAGAGAATTCAGCATTAAGTAAAAATAATGAGGTAATGTGTCATGACATTAGTGGAGCATGAAACCAGTTCAGTGTTTTCTTGTCTGGTGGATTATCTTAATAACTATGCATATTCTTGGACAGTTTTCCTTCATCACATTTTTATTTTTTGTTTTTATAGCATTTCTGTATAGAGTTTTACATATTAAAAAATGTGTTTACCTTCTGGTTTTTCTAACTCTTTGGCTGTTCAAGAAAAAAGTGGTTCCATGTTCCTTTCATATTCACCAAAAGAAAAGAATCTTTTATGTTTGCATTTTTTGTACTGTTTTTCAGTTCTCAGAGCACCAATGCAAAAAGTGACTGCAATAGTATGAGCTTAAATTTCTTTTTCATTTATGAATATATTGTATTTGCCATTTGAGAGGTTGACAGCGTAGTTGAAGAGGATGTCCTTAGATGAAACACATTGTATGTTATTGCTTTGAAAAGAACTGAAGGGTTATTGATGATTTATAATGTTAAATGAGTGGCTGGGAGCTAATTAAAATTATGTATTAATATTAAGCAATTACCTGAGCCAGGGAGATGTGTTGTGGTTTTTAGCTTCATGAAGTATCTAAATAGTTTTCAGGTTCTCATAGCAGTGAAGATGTCTTCTGGGTTGTAGCACTGTGTAGTGTTATAGGTAGTAACCAATGTTTTGAATTAAAATTGATTTTCAACTGCAAAATGACACTTCTTCGCAATGCTTCAGGGCAATGGTGATAATCGCCTGCAAGACTACATGTCATCACGGTTTTTCAGAGTAACATTGATAACGACCAGAAGACCGCAAGCCAACAACTGAATAAATACATTTGTTAACACATTAGTATAAAATATGTATTGTAGCCTTGACTGCAAAGAGACTGAATATTGAATGTAATGCCAAAGAATATAACACAAATGAATGTACCTGATGGTACTCCAAGCAGTGAATGAAATGAATTTTGTTGATAGGTAAGTCTGGCAGCATTGAAAGCATTTCAGGAGATATTATATCTGAACAAAGAAGGTGAAGGTACTGCAGCATCATCTGGTGTTATCTCATCCAGTGAAGAACCTGGAGTGTGGGGCGTCGCGTGGCGAGTATGGCTGAGTATCGGTGCAGAGAGCACCACACCTCCCGATGAAACCGTCGACATCAGAGATGAACTCTACATACCTTCACAGCCATTCCTCACTGCCCTAATTCAAATATTCCCTGCAGTCTTTCAGCACATAAGAACAAGGTATGTCCAGTTACATTGAAAAGTCACTGCATTTCTGCAGTGCTTTTATTTAATGATTTATTTGGTAATATTAAGCTATCAGCAGAATCTTTCCAAGAGCATACTCCAGCTATTTTTGTAATTATTTATTAAAACATGACACTTATAATAGTGTAATAATAACACAGGGTACCAGAAAACACTGCACATTATCAACAACCATTGGTGCACAGTCCTGGTAAATCTTTAAGACATTTCTTGCAACAACTTGGCTTAAGAAAACCATCAATGTACATGATTATTCAGATTGATGTGAAATTGTTTTGTGTATAATGAATTTATTTGTTACAGACACAGTCATAGGATTAAGGTTTTAATGTTTGTTGTTCTTCTGGGTTTTGTAGACTTGTCACCAGATGCTAGCATTTGGAAAAACCTACTGTCTGCATATTTGTGGCTCAAGATGGAGGAAATATGTTCCCCTGAAATGTTGGCATCTACTGATGAGTCTACACAGCACCAGAACCCAGAAGAAAAACATCTTCCTCACTACTGGGAAAACTTCAAGTGTTGATTTTAATGTTTTTTGTAGGTTTGTGGTTTCAGATCTACAGAAACTGTGTAGTGTTCTTCAAAATGCAGTTGTAGTTCCAGTTCAGGGAGAGGCATCTCCATTCATCCTGCCATCTCTGAATGATGTGGTTCTCACACAGCTGCAGGATGGTGTATTACACTCCATGGAGCTTCTGCAGAAGGCAAGATAACATGTTGGTTATGTGCAGGTGCACAAAAGAATTTCTAGTATTTGTAAGTGGTCAACTGAGAAAACAGTGTCTGAGGTTTGAGGTTCTCATAGGATGATGATATATTGATACTTTCAGTAAATTTAAGTGTTTACAGATTTTGATTAAATTGAAGCCCAAAATGATACTTTTGAACCATGTGATCTAGACAAGGCTGAATTTATTATTTTGTATGGCTTCTAGAATTTAAAACTTTGCATTTTTCTCTGTAATTTAAAAGTTTTTACCAATATGTATCTGGTGGTACCAGTATCTGCCAATTGAGGTACATTAGAAGGTTTTGTGTTAGTTTATTAAAAGCAAATCATATTTCTCCATTTTAATTTGCCCCTTCAGTAAATCTGCTGTAGTTGAAGTAATTTTTTGATGTGTTCACAACTAGAACTTTCAGAAATGCGCCTGTTAGCTCCACCATGTGTCTGGCAGAATGTAACTATTTGAGAATTGTTTGAATAGATTTTAATAAAATTTGTTTAAATAGATGTTAATAAAATTTGGTATTTGTGAGTTTTACTGGAATGAGATGAAAATTTTACTGAATTTGGTTAAGACTGGACTTTACATGAAGATCTGCATCTGATTTCTGTTCACATAAGTGATTGGGTGGGGAATCCCCAGGCTATCATAGTTATTAAGGTTAATTTTATTATGATTGTTGCTATGGATATTTTGACAGTTTTGTAACCATATCATGATTCAGAATATTTAAAAATCACATCATGTCACTACATGGCATTTTATTAGTTTGTGTTTGTGTGCTTGCACACACATGTCAAAAGACAGACATGTTTAATATAAATATATATTTTATTCTAATTCATTCATTGAATTCTTCAGTGACAAATTAATGGTCACCTGTGTTTTGTGTCTTCGTTATGAAATGTGAAACAGAATGCTAAAGAGTCAATAAATTAACACACTCAACAGAGTAGGAACATGCGCAAGAAATAACAAATACTTGAGTTATCTCAGTATTTCTGTCTGGCATGAAATGTTGCAGGAGGCCCTAGCTGGAGCAGAAAATATGAAAGCAATGATAGCTGCGATATTTCATCAGCTCCTCGTGTTCAGCAATTTTGCCTGTCAACCTCCACCATACGGAAAACTGGAAACAAAGAACATCTGTCAGATGAAAAGCAGTACAGTAAGTGTATTGTAAGAACAAGAAGTTTAAATTGAATTTCTGCTTTATTGTGGGGAGTTAGTTGTTACAAAATATTATTACTGACACACTAAAAATAATCATATTTAGAAAATAAAGTATTATTTGCTGGAAAATGGCAAATATTCTGAGTGTCTGGTCTCTTGTTTATATAATTATTATTCATTTGCTTATTTATTACAAAGTACTTAAAAGAATATATGGACCTGAGAGAGATGAAGTAATGGAAGGCTGGAGAAAAGTACAAAGTATAACAGAACTGTGTACAGTCAAGCACACATAGTTTTATTTTTATAACATCTAACTGTGTTAAAATCGGTACTGTTTTCAAAATGACAGCTGCATAAAATATTATGTTTGAATTTGGAGATATGAGTTTCCAGACTTCCCTGCCAATAACCTAAGTATCAAACACCACTGACAATTATTTACATTATCTATAAAATTTTGATTACCACAAAGCTTTTACAGGTATTTTAGCAATGCTCATGGACAGATATAGTTTGCTACAATCACATTTTGTCATGTTGCAGGCTGATTGGATTACAATGAACTATGTGCCATTCGGCGAGAAGGCTCTCACCATGGTGGTAAACCTGTACCATGAAACTGCTCATGATATGTCTGTGATACAGTCCAATATTCTGCATAGTATCATTGAGGTACAGGACTGATATCAGGTTCCTATGTTATATAATATAAATTACTGTATTTATCGTGCATATAATTACAGTTATCTTATGTGCCAAGGATGTGGTTTGCAGTGTGCACTCCATGGAAACATGCATAAAACTAAGAACATGTTCATGTCTTGTCACCAGAATGTCATTAGATATGGATCGTTAATAAGGCCTCAAAAAATGTGAAAACTTTGAGTATTTCAGAATGACAGCTTCTGATTCCAGCTTGACAGGTAGATTGACATTTATAGTTTTTTGTCAACTTGTTTATTTAGTAATTTTTTGTTGTGGATACTAATAAACACAATTGATAATAGAGGCGTTTGCTGTATTCAAATGAATGTTCTTTTGAGAATTAAAAATATATACTAAAAATAAGTTTCGCACACGTCATATGATTGTCAATTTAAAGAAAAACAGTAAATTAATTATTATATACAGTGAAATGTTGGTAAATGAACATAAAGCTAATACAAATGTTCAGATGTACTAAGAATTGTACAGCTCTAAAAAGAGTATAATAAAACCTGTATTTCTGATTCCACCTCCCCCACACACATGCATGCGCACACGTACGTGCACATGCGTACAAAGAGAAAATCTCTTTTCAAAAGGAAACAGTATTGAATGTCTAGTCTCGACTTTGAATCCTGATGACTGGAACTGAAAAAGTTTAAGTTACGGAAGCTGTATTGGTCATTTTCAGGCATTCCATGTTCCCCTGTCAATGAAGTATGACTGCCCATCACCTGGAACCTGGAAGCTGGCTGTGACCAGTCTGTTGAGTATACTTCTCACTGGTCTGCCCCTTGCTCGCAAGCACCCTCAGCCCTTCCAGCATATGTGGTCTCAGCTGGCTGATACCCTTGACCATTTCCTTTTCCCCACAAGGTATGTTAAGAATCACTAGAAACCCTTATCACAGCATACACAGGAGATATGCATGGTCTTCAGTCAGTGTATTCGTCATGCGAAGTACATTGTCTTCATAAGCAAGTGCAGACATCTGGTCCTTTTATGCCTCATGTAATGTCCTTGAAATGTTATAATACCAGCAACCTGTTATAAAAATAATCTGCATATTGTCCATGTTGGTCTTTTTGGTTGTAACACCATATGGATTTGTAGGTAGGTACTAATGTTTTGGAGGAACATACTACTGTGTTACAACAGTTGCAATCTATTACAACCCTGATGTCTGACATTGACATCTTCACTGCCATTAGAGCCTTAAGTCTCAATCTGCATGTTGCCTTTACTATTAAGAATTGTGGAGAAAATGGGGTATATTGCACTAGTGAGTAATGCAGGTCAATTGTATGTATGTAGCAGGTTCATGAAATAAGTGGAAGTTCAGTAGCTTAATATATTGTCCAAACATTTTCTAAAGAGCGTATGGTAGAGCAACACTACATTTTATTGAATTTGGAAGCCCCATCAAAGAAGAAATAATTTCTATTAAAGTGTATTTTCTTAAAATGTGTAGAAAATGTAAATGAATATTTGTTGATGCGTGATCTACGCTGATTAAAATCATTAATAAGTGCCTATATAGTATTGTTGAATTATAATTACAGGAATATGTTTACATGATTATTGTTGTTGTTGTTGTTATAGTGATGCTAATGAATTGTAGTATATTGGTTACAGTTCTCCCCCAAAAGATCGTTCCCCAGAGGAAGTACAGGCAGATGAAGCAGTAGATTGCCAGGTGATTGAGCTGTTACGGAATGAAGTATTACCACACTCACATTCAATACCAAGAGAATTTGTTTTGAAAGTAGTGGTACTGCTCAACAAGGGTTCGATTCATTCTGCCAGTAACACAACAGATAATGGTAAGTTTTGAAATTATGTAGGTAAGGTAAAGTTGTCTCTGATACGTTAGTAAGCTTAATGTCATGCAGACATACAGGTGAGCTTGAGTAATAATATCCATAAATGATGCTTCTGCATCAGGAGTGACCCAGGGATATAAATGGCTCTGCTTTAAAAGGAACAAAGTGTTACTTTCATATGAAATACAACAGAAATATGGCATAGGAGCCATTGGGTATTTCTTTTTCCTGTTCTTGCTTCAATTAAAGTTTATGAAGCCAGTGGGAGAAATGGAACAAGATGTTATGTGATGCAATTTGGTTTACAGATGGGGACACTGAACATAAACTGCGTGAAGAATTTGCAAAAACATGTTTTGAGACGTTGCTGCAGTTTTCCTTGCTGGATGGCCTTGATTCTGGTGAAGTGCGTGGCCTAGAGGGTGGACTGGCAGGTCGATTGGCCGTGACTGCACTGTTACATCGGTTTCAAGAAGTGCTACACCAGTATGTAGAGGACGAACGTCGAAGTGGCAAATGTCCGCTTCCAAGGTAATTCTTATTTCCGCAATAAATGAATTCTTTCTGTTAATGGCAGAATAAAATTGTCCAGATATGCTTAAAAATTACTTGTGTTTAAAATGGAAGATTTATATACTGTTTACAGCTTTACATTTTGTCTGTCAGTACTTCCCAGATGGTACTTTTGAGTGGACCATTACTAATTGCTTCATCTCCAACTTAATCTAAAAGGCCTGCAATTTCTCATTTGTAAATCAATGGCTAAGATAAAGTCCCTCTTTTGCCTAACAACATGCCTAGAAGACGTTTGTGAAGGTTCACACATTCTAGACGTCAGCACTGGATCCACAAAGTCAATGATTCCTCATTAGTAATTTCAGAAAGAACAATTAACTATGTGCAGTTTCCCCTTTCTTCAGGATATCTTTCTTTGCTTCTTTTTGCAGATACAGATTATCAGAGATATCATTTGTGCTGAAAGCCGTTGCCACGTTAGTTGTTTCACTGAAGAAAGCACCTCCAGAGAAAGGTAAAATCTTAATATGATTATATTGAATTAACAGTTTAAAATTATGGTTGAAGTTGTAGGTAATTTGGACTATTCATTGTTCTTAATTAACCGTTTCAAGTCAGTGTTCATCTAAATAATAATTAAAGATGAAATTCTTTGCTGCAAAACAAAAAATTCACTTCATCATTACAAAGATAAATTGGTTTTTACCGTTTACTGAAGTAATTACTGATTATTGTGAGAATCATGCCAGACCCATAAATACACTCTGTGTGCAAAATGCAGAGCTAGTGACTGGTAAGTCAGGTGGTACATACAGTTACCACTGCGGTTTAAACTGTTAAAATACTTACATGGAAATAGTAGAACTTTGTATACTTCTCAGTGTGGTTGTTTTAAAATATGGTTAATATCTAATTTAAATACAGTAATTCATCCTAAGAACAGTAACTTACATAGTTTTATAACTTTGTGTGGTGATATGTCTACAGATTATAGTAAGACCAAGTCACATCAACTTGTATACTTGGTTCAGGATTTGCCATTTTCTGGATTGTACGATGACTTTTTTCTGTTGAAAATGCTGCCTAAAATCTTTTGTCTTATAGCCCAGCTGTTGAGATTCATGATGTTGATACTTTCTAATATTGTGGGTGTAGATGTTGTATGTGACTTTAGTAGCACAAGTGAATGGGAATGCAGCCATGTTCTACTGTTTATTGGAAATATGTGCAGTGGTTTATAAATTTATAATATTTCAAAAGTTTCAAATTATTACAGAATGAAATTTTTGTGGTATATCACTAAGGCAATGTTTTGTATGTTGTATTTATGATTTATGTATATTCCTCAATATTTCAGTTCAACATCCCTTTCTTTTGTGGTAGCAAGTCAGAAACAACCAATTTGGAACCATGGAAGATATAATGTTTACACTTTTGTGTTGTTTGAATGTCATGGTCTGTTTTATTTATTTTTTCTCACCACTGATACCAGGTGAATTCAATTTTGTATCAGCACTGGTGTGAGATGCATTCAGATCTATGATATGTTTTGCAGTGTTAGGAATAGAGTTAAGTTAATGATTTTTACATAATATAGTGAGTGAGCTGTACGCATTTATTTACTTCATGGTTCATAAATAATGCTGCTTCAAATATTTGTGCAGTGGATAGATCATCTTGGGAACAACTGATTGGTTTGTACCCATATCTAGTGGACTGCACTACAACACCATCGACCCAAGTGTCACATTCTCTGAGAGAGGCTTTGCTACAGTACTGGGACCTACTCCAGCCCCCTGTAGTGCACACGTACCCCAATGGTGTGTGACACTCACCCATGTTGCCAAAATGAACAACATAAAATTTGAAGTGTGTTGATGCAGGGAAGTTTCCACACAAGTTGTGTGAGGCTGTGATTACAAAAGTGTCCATTCAAAACACGTTTACTTTTATCTGATCCGTTGAAAATAAATCTGTAGAATATGTTTCTGTTAAATTGGTTTTGTGCCAGTACCCTGTCTAGAATTTTACTTTTCATTTTCTGATAAAAGTGGTGTTATGACAAAATGTTGAAGAGAAGTGTTTTTATTGCTGCCATCTGGTGGACGTAATATGATGTTCTGTAACTTACAGCTAATTAGTGTGTTCATATTCTGTTTCATGTAGCAAGAAAGCAGTTAACAAAAATACACTGTATTTAGTTAAATCTTAACCTCTTAATAGGTTGAACGTTGAAGAAGAATTAATTATTCCTCGTTTATACTGAACTTGGATGCCGAGTTGTGTCACTTCACATGATGTAGATCAGATCATATAAATACTCTATTCCATGAAAATTTGCATGTTGATCTGTTGCATACAAAATTATTACCCAATAGTCTTTAATAAAAGCATAGCAGCCCAGAATCTAAACTCCTTCAATCTTCAAAGGTAAAAATTGTGAGACCGTCTCAGAATTATGTTACTTCAAATGACACTATCATATATTTTCATTATACAGTCTCAGAGAAAGAAGGGGTGGGGGGAATATACTGTAAAACCTGCTGAAATGAACTTCATTACAATGGAAACTCCCTTTAAAGTATACACTCATCCTGTACATGTATAGTACAAGTACATGGTCTTAATTTAAAGTGTTTCTTAAATCCTCATTTATTTCATAGTGAATGCTATTGATTTGTTCTAGCATGATTCTGAAATTAAAGTGTATTACACTTTATGAACTCAACAAATGACGCTAGTGGTGCCATCATTTGCATCAGTTACAAATAAATGAAGGAAAAATCATTACATATTAATGTACAGAATTGTTCATATCCTATCCACACACATCTGACTCCTTGTCAGTGTATTGGTTTTCATTATAATGCATATTACTTGTACTTTAAAAAAATAAATATGATACATCATTTATGTATTAAGATGTCTATAAAGTTTTTGTTTCAAAATTCTCACCTGTCTCAGTTTGCAGGTTTCCACTTTCAATCTCATCAGCATCTTGAAAAAGTATTCTAGCGCATATCTAAAGAAGCCTATCAAATGTTACTTTTAAACACTGTGTATCTGCAGTAAAAGAGAACATGTTTATTATTTTTGTATGATATTTTAGGTTTTCATAGTGGTGAAAATTTTGGTTTTGGTCTTCTGTGTAGACTTGTAGGTGGTTATTGCCATTTTGAAAGAACCCATCCTTGACAGGTTATGATTCCACATAGTAATGTAGGGTAATGTACTCTGATGGTGGAGGTGAGAGGTTCTGAAATACTAGTAACAACCTACAAGACTACACAGCAATTATAACTTAGAAGGCCACAATTCATTTGCATTCTTTTTTTCCCACCAAATATTGTACTTGCTTCCATTTTCACCAGATATTCTGGCTTCCATTCCAGAAACCCTGCATAAATATATTTTTTTCCTGTAAACATCTGAGAGTACATTCCGATATCAAGAGGACCAAGTTTGTACAGCAGAATTGGAAATTGGAACATTGTGTATATTTGTGTATAAGATTACAGGAGGTATAGCTCAGACAGTAATTTAAACTTGTGTAAATATGCTTCGGTCATTAGTTCACATTATTAATATAAAGTACATATAATTGTAATTTCTTTAAGATCTTCACAAAGAATTCCCATACCATGAAATGTCATCATTATACTTGTTAAATTTTTGGGTGGAGTTTGTATTGTGATCATTAAGCAGAGGTTTTCTGAAGAAATTAATATTATGTAATTATATTGGTCAAACTTAAATTATCTTAATACGGTCTTCGGTGTAAATGGGTATGAAGCAATCAATACATGTTTATATTTTTGACCCAATTTTGAGAGTGTGTCTTCATTTACTGGAATCCATAACAATTTCAGTATTGTGTAATTTATCCATAAATTGTATCATATTGTTTTAATCGATACATAGTATTAAAATTGCTCAACAGTTTAGAACATAGGGGCCTCTCTATTAGCAGTTGGTCATAGACATTCTAGAGTTACTATATATATCACTCTGTAGTGAAGTGATAATATGTCAAGCAAGGTTTATTTTAAAAACTGAATGCTATTTTGTGATTATTAATAATAATATGACTGCAGATTTTTAGGTTGAAAACTTCATGACATGTTCAAAATGAGCAGTTCACATTGCACAGTTGTGTTGTACATAGGGAACCATTTCGAACTTTAATCACTTCTCATCCAATTTTATTTGAATTATTTTTCCATTTATACTGTACATATTATGCATTTCTCATTTTCCATGTGTCCCAAAAATTGTACTTATACATCAAAATATTGATTGTATTATATGTATGCTAATTGGCTGTTATGAAATATAACCAACAAATTTGTTTATTCAAGAGAGAGTACATAATAAGGCAAATATTCAGAGGTTAGATGAAGTGATTAAAATGAAACAAATATTACAGTAAGTTCCAGGGTATGGTGATGGTAGAACAAGGGATGATTTATTTCCCAAGTGTATACTTATTCAGTAAAGAGACAGCTATGAATGGAACATCCATTCAGTATCATAAAATGGTTGTTACATATTAATTAACTACTGCATAATTTTTATGTTACCTTTTTGTTGTGTATGATGTGCTTCAATCTCGTGAGGTTGTCAAGACATGCATGTATATGGCCTATGTGTGTATGTAGTCTGTATGTGTATATCTTGTTTGATTTAACTACATTTTTATTACAATAATTAGTTATTTTTGATGGCCTTATGAGATTGAAATATATTAAAAATGTTGCTTAATGTTACCAGTAACAAAAAGTGGTGATATGAATCATGTGTTCTTCCATCTTCAGAATTATTTGTGCACTAGCTAAAACAAACTTATTGCATACAAGCTGCCTTAAATGAAGTGTCAGTTGATTTTATGTAACTTAAAATTAAGATTTTAATAGAACTGATTTAAATTTTAAATAAGGAAGAGTGTATTCATCTAAAACTTAGGTAAGAAGATGACTTTTATGGGTTATTGCACCATGTAGTCTGGTAGAAGTTTATCAGTGCTTCAGAAGTGCTTGTTGCCTCCATCATTAGGACACTGAGTCACTCATTTCCCTGATGATAGAGGTCACTTCTCATGTTTCGCTCTGTAAATATGTAGGCTAGGTATTGGAAATTGTGTAAAGTAGGAAGGTATTGGAAAATATTTGCTTTCATGTATAAATTTGAGTTGTACTGTATTATGTATAAATACCTCTTTAATTTAGCTCTCTTAATGAGGCTGGTCTGTATCTTCTTAAAATTGTTCAGCATTTCCATAATTGGAGTTATATGTTACTGGAAACAAGACTTTATATTCACTTTTATGAAACATTTCTAAAATAGTATTTAGTGAAAATATATATGTAAAATCTCATAAATTACACTCATGTTTAAATAACATTGCCATAAATATATATATATGATATTTTTATCATATTTAATTTCTAAAACAGTATTTAGTGAAAATATATATATGATATTTTTATCATATTTAAGAATCAATCTTGCAATTGAAATTTTGCCTGTTCTTATAAAATTTCTGGCCCAATGTATATTCAATTAATAGCATCCTCTGAGGTGTCAACAGTTACTTTAAATTCTCATTATGCTAATTTTTTTACATTTTATTACCATTTGCTTTTGAATTTACAAAACTTTTCCCACTTATTTGCTGTATTTTAAAAGATCATATTCAGTGTTATTCTTACAGTCAAGTAACTTCTATAACTCTTGCATGTGAATATGAAACAGCAGTGTTAAACAGTGCCAAATACTAGCACCTGAGGATGGAGACAGATTCAGTTTCTGAAATGTGTTCTTTTCAGAATACCAGACAATGCATAAATTCAAGAAATCTAGTTGGTAATTGTATCATAATATACCATCATTAAAACCCTGTAGAACTGTATTGTAATTTTCTTGAAATTTTATAAACATTGAATCCTCAAACAAATAAAAACGTGTGTGCCCCCAACGTTGTTGGACAGAGTGTAACCATCTATCTTGACTCTCAACTAGTAGAATACAAAGGTTCAATACAACTAAGTAAGTCCACCATTGTGAGCTGTATAGTCTTCTAGGTGGTGGTTAGGATACCCACCAGCAAAATTACATTATCACAGGAAAGACCACAAAGGTTTCAAACATAGCACAAGGAACCACATAATGAGATTTTTACAATCCTAACATGAACAGGTATTGCCCCTCCACCTAAAAGAGTGGGTTCAACAGAGACAGAATCTAATCGACATACAGGTTAAGCCACAAGGTCTGAGATCTATAGTAAGATGAGTGACCATTGAAATTGACTTTGCCGTCTGATCGATCCAACGTGACAATCAGGAAGGTACATCGTATATATTGACTGGTGTATATATATGAATATACGACTCACGGTCATACCTCACCTTGACCTTGGTCATGGAAAGAGTTCTCCAAAACCCCGGTTTTAACGAGGTTGTGAAGCTGAAATTTTTAATACATTCGTTTGCATTGAAGGGCTGAAACTTGCATAAACCATCAAAACGAGGGGAAGATGGATTCTACATTGCAATGTCACCATGCGGAGTGCAAGGTGGTGTTTACAAAGTAATTTCATTATTCACCACTGATAAATGTTCACAAAAAGTTGAATTTGGAGGTTTATAAAACATAATTTTCTAGTGCTAGTCTGCAGTATTATATAATGCGTAAAAACTTTTGATGGCTCAATGATGCACATAAATTCATGATTATATTATTTCACTCAAGGTGCTCACATTCAGTTACAGATCGCAGCAGTTGGAATGGAGCTGCAACCTATATCTTCCAAATTTCGCCGAATGCCTCAATCACAGATAATCGGATGCTAATTTAAAATTCTGTGGTCCGAGACGTCACTCCGCTCCGGCGGCAATTGCTATTTGAGTCATGGCAAGGAAGCGTGATAATGTAAATCAAAAGTTTGGTTAGAAGCAAGTGTGGCTCATTTATAGTTTCGTGTAAGCTCATAATTTAATACCTCAGGCAGTTGATTATCGTAGAAATTTGCGTTATTTTTGGTTTCTTGAATTTCATTGACACTGACCATGTGGATCCATCCAAATATGTAACAAGCCAATTAGGATTAGGACAGTATAAGGGAATTTTTGCCACTTTTACAATTTTTTACAAGTACAATAAACCTGAATTTGATAACTAACTATACTTGTATGCATTCGTGTTGGTTACCCAGGTTAAATATACAGTTAAAATGCTCAGCAATGTTGAGGTGGTGCTAAGATGGTGCACAAGAAACTATCATCATTGGAAGAGAAAGAATTTGGCATTTGCCAGCAGTTACGCAACACTAGCAGATTCTTCTAGTCCAAATACTTTCTGGTTTAACAGAAGCATAATGAAACACGAGAAACAGCAGCAGAAATATGATAGTTTCTTGGTGTTAGATTTTGAAGCTACATGTGAGCGAGGAAGAGCAATTGAGCCTCAGGTATGAGACATCGTAGAGTTTGTTCTAGTCTTGGATTTTTGTATTTGATATTGTTTTGAATCTTTTTAAAATTTGCATTTACTTCTGTTTTTCTGCATGTAAGTCTTCTGACATTTCAATCATGCTAAGAAGTACCTTCAATATCAGTCATTAATTGGTTCTTTAAAAGTGCAGTGATGTGGATCAATACATTTGCATGTTATAATGATAATTTCTTCCAACGATGGCATAAACTTGAGCACCAATAAAGGTTATCCTTGAGGGTGTTGAAAATTCTTTTGCCATCTGCCTTATCAAAGTGTAATTCTCCTGTAGTTGCTGGTCAGAAGTCCAGGTCGATAATACCTTCCCCATTTTTAGAATAAGAATTTCTGTTGTCCTCAGGCATTTAATTTTTCCAGACAGTAGTAATTAAGCAATATTTTTTATCAGCTACATTTGTTCTTACTGTTGAAGGCACTATTTTATATTCATATCTGATATTGAATGCTTCAAAATCAGGAATAATATTTTAAATTTAATTTTATAATTTGGGATGCACACACATTTATTTATTTTAAATAAAGAGTTGGATAAAATGTAAACAGAAATAATTGTATGAGGGATGAAATTGGGATTTACAGTGACTATATTTAGTTAAGCATGCTTTTTGTAATATTAGAATTGATATATGTGTTATTACAATTTTTTCAGGAAATAATTGAATTTCCATGTATTAAAATAAATGTGCATACCGGTGAAATAGATGATATATTTCATCAATATATTAAGCCAAAATTAATTCCAATTATTACACCTTTCTGTACTGAACTTACTGGAATTATGCAGGTAATGTCTTTCCTCTGTTACTTACCTGTCTGTATCGTTTAATTTACACTCTTATCATTTGATTACTTAGATTTATTTGTTTTGTGTGCTGTTTCTTACCTATTATTCATGTGAAGATGGGTATCTTTCATGATGTCGTGTCATAAAATGGAGATGTTCACTAAAATAGCTAAAAGTTTCAATGAAATTTTAGTTTGAAGTCACAAGTTGTATTCTATAGGCAAATGCACCAGTGGTAAATACACACAAAAAATTTAACTTGCAGATTGTGAGATGCTCATCATAGATTATAAATTTTCAGACTGGAGTAGTGTAGTAATAGGTATTGTATGGATTTGAGGACTTTCTTCAGCAGTATATGGTGACCTGATCTTTTGTTACTATGATAAGTTTACTTGTGATTTAGTGCTTCTGTCACTTTAGTGGCAAGCACATTAAAAATCAGAAGCCAATATTTATATTCAGTTCATATTGTTATTACATGTGCTGAAATGTATTAATACTGATATTATTGTGGTAAAACATTATTCCGTTGATGTGTGTTCACACATATTATAATATTTTACTTATGAAAATTGTGGTACAACTACATGCAATTTAAAACCAAGGGTCTTTGTCTGAGAGCCATTCTTATGTGTTGTCACGTTAAACCAGCAGCGAATAAATAAATTTTGTGGGCTATAAAAGCATAGTTCATAACACTGTGTAATTGTAGTTCTCATCCCATTCTTCTTTTGTTAGGTTTCTTGACTGTCCAGTGTATAGTATTCTAATAAGCAGGGTTCATAAACTGAGTAATACTGAATGTAATATACCATCGTCAGAACCCTTTAGAATTAATTCTCTTAATTTTATTTGGAAGTTCTAGATTATTCCTAAGTCCAAAAATCCTTATTAGTCAGCAGAGAATGCCATTTACAATACTGATAACTTTCTCTTGTGTAACAATTTGTAGTTTTAACTGGATCATACTTCTTTACTTCAGGAAATGGTAAATAATGAACCATACTTTGAAGAAACATTTTTTCAATTTCAAGAGTGGCTGGAGGAAACAAAATGTTTTAATTCAGGCAACAGAAGTATATTTGTAACTTCTGGTGACTGGGACTTACAGGTTATGTTGCCAAAACAGTGCCAGCTATCCAACATGGATATACCATTTGAGATGAAACAATGGATAAATATTAAAAAGGTTGTTTAAAGTATAATTTCTGTTAATGTTATAGAAGTTGTATTTTGTTATAGAGGGCATGTATAAAGCAGGAACCTTACTGTGGTGTGTGTGTATATATATATATATATATCTTGTTATCTACCTTAATATAAATGTAGAGTGTTACTTTTAATCAGTCAAGTTGGTGCCATTTACTTAAGTTTAAATTGACTTGTTTAATATAAGCATGATGCTGATAGTAAGGGGTTATGACTGAATCAGAGAAAAGGCATTTAAATTTTCAAGTACAGGGAAGAATCATCGACCCCAGAGGTTCCCAAACTTTTATACCTTGCGCCCCCTTAAAACATTTCATAAATTTTACGCCCCCCTTCCAGAACAAGTGCAAGCAAACAGATGTGACATAAAATTTAGCTTTGAGTATACAGCACTGTAAGACAACTAAACTGCCTCAACCAAGCAAAGGATGTTAAAAATGTTTCTCCATATTTTGTTAAAAAAAGTTTTACATACAAAGAACCCCCCAGAAAACCACTCGCCTCCCCAGAGGGTGTGCCCCACACTTTGGGAACCTCTGATCTACCCCAAATATGTTCCTGATGGTGCAAGTTGTGTATTGTAGTAAATACACATCACAAGTTATTGAAGCTCTCAGTTTTTGAAATGGTAATTTACACGTTTTAATTGAGGCAAAAGGGAACAGTGAATAGGTTGAGCAACTGAAGGCTTTTGTAAGTATTAAATGGATGATGGATTGTAGAATGCAAGTCATTTTGAAAAGACTTTACATGCTTGAACACATTTGTGGATAAAATAGTATATTGAGACCTATACTGGGAGAGAATAACTGTGCTTAATACAAGGTAAATTGTTCGATGTGTTAACAGGCATTTGCTGCCGCAACAGGTTACTTTCCAAGGGGAATAATTGATATGCTAACAAAATTACAGTTATCTCACCAAGGAAGATTGCATAGTGGAATAGGTAAGGAATCTTATGAAAAGTTCTTGATACTTCAGTTGTAAGTGTCCCGTGCCGTAGCCGCCCGGTCTGAGGCATGCTTCGGACCGAAGATACGGAATGCGCGCTGGTTCAAGTCTTGGAGGAGAAGAAATTTTCTCATGAGCTTTCGACCAGTGTATGGGACCAGTGCCAACCCAGCATCGTGAGGAAATTGGGGAGCTACAATGAGTAGCGTAATCCGGTCATGGAAACTAGCAATGGCTGGGGGTTCGTCGTGCTGACCACACGTCACCCTGTATCTGGTTGAATGATCGTTCACCTCTGCTTAGGCATGTGAACGTGAGGCCAGCAGTCAAGCTAGTCGGCTTTGGCTCTCTGATGCTGTTATGCCACGGATTTATTCTATTTATTACTTCAGTTGTAAGTGATAAGTTTGCTTGTGAACAGAGAGAAGTTATTCTAATTTGAAGACTGGGAAGTGCTTCACCATTACTAAAATCATCACCACTGTTATATGAGATTTGAGGTTCTCACAGCAGTGAAGATGTTGCTGGGTTCTTCTATGTTGTGATGTTTCAGCCTTAAAGATGGAAGAAGTGTCTTCCTCCGAAACATTGGTACCCACCCACAAGTGTACCTGGCATCGCAGCCCAGAAGACCATCATTCATGTGGTTTAATAGTTATCACCTGTCATTTGTAGGAGGTCTGAGTTTGATTGTTCATCTTGAGTTGTGCTGTTGTGACACGTTTTTCATTGTTTTCTGTGGTAATGTACTTTCGCATTTCATGACAAATAGAATTTGGCTAGCTGATTGACTACCAGCTTCTTTAGGTGATGCAGTTAGTGGTAGAATGTAATTCTAGTGTCTGGGACCTGTTTCAGTCATGGGGAAACGATGGAATTGTGTATCTGTACACTCACAAGAACAAATGTGCTCAACCAATAGAACAGTGTCAGTTTAATCTTTGGAACATGCTGAAGTAATGTTTTAACAGACATTATCTTCCTTTTATTTTTCAGATGACTGCCATAATATTGCAACAATTTTGAAAGCACTAATAGGTCGGGGATTTGTGTTTGAAGAAACAAGTCATCTGAAATTGAATAAAATTTGAGGGCGGTAAGTGAAATATCCTTTACCAAGCTGGAATGACAGATTTGCAGTGGATAGAAAGATACTTAATTTTTTCTTAAAATTATATTTCTTTTGTATGTTTAAAGTTGACAGGATATTTGCTTCCCTGCAGTGTACGGAAATTGTAAAATTAATTAATTTTAGAATAATACAATTTGTCCAGAAGGGAAAGATAAAAGTTAATTTAATAAAACTGTGAAATACATGGTTTAAAAGTGAATCAAAATTTAGGTATCTGGGAAGAAATATGAGGTTAGAGATGAAGTAAGGCTTGTTAATTTCAAAAACTATTATCTTCACAACTGCATGCCAAACCACTGTACATACACAATTTTGCCAGTTTTGTTGGCATGTGAAATGTGGTATTCTCTAGAGAAGGACACAAACTACAAATAAAATTGTCCATGAAAATATTTGCGAGAGGCTAACAAATCACCATAAGAAATCAGAGCATTAAAAGGTGTTATGCAGGGCCTTAGAAAATATTTTGATTTAATAAGGATGAAGTGAGTGGTAGTTCAAGATATTACATGACTCAGAACTTTTTGTATATGATGGTCACCTATCATTGTTAGAATCATAAAATGCAGGTTGCTGTGATAGGCTGGGCTTGTAGTTAGGAAGGGGAGGAATGGATGCACATGTAATTTTGTGTGCAGCCAAACTCCAAAGTCACACAGTGTACTTTCTTTCTAACACTTTTTACACACACACACATATATATATATATATATATATATATATGGTAATGATGCTTCCTTTGGGTGAATATTCTATTGTATAGAGATTTTTGCAGTTAATCTTAAAAACAATATAATAGTTTCTTAATGAAGCTGACAGCATGAAGATTATTTTCAGAATATAGATGTGCAGATATGTAGTTTGTAATTCAAATTCAGTCTATATACCCCAAAGAAAATATAATTTCCCCATTATAAGGATCAGTCAGTCAATGTTGTTTAAGGAAATAATCACATAAAATCATATAAAACCCACAAACACATTCTTTCAGAAAACTGCAGAGTTATTAATTATTAAAGCAGGTGGTACATACAGTTACCACGGTGTTTTAAGGGGTTAATAGTTCAAATATAAAAAAATTAAATACTGAAGTTGTAAAAATATCTTTAATTACTAATCCAACACTATACAATTAATTCTTCTTACTGGTGATACATAATGATTTTATCCATTTAAAATATACATAACATATAATATTAACAGAGTAATTCTACAAAATTATGTTATAAGCAGGAATTGTAGAGATAAGGAAGTCAAGCAGTGGAGCCAGATAATCTAAACCTCCAATCTTTTTTTATGCTACAATTTCAAATCTAATCCCCACACTGCAAAACAGTACATTTTCTGTCAAGGTGTTCAGTATATAAATGCATATACAATATTTTTTTATGTAATGTGCGAAAAATACTAATTTTATATATAGCACATACATTAAAATCTTAGTTATCTGCCACTTATCAACTTCTCTAACTTGACCATAAATCAAAGACTGTGTTAGATAGACAGGTTGGTCCACACAAAGCTTACCGTACCCTAATGAGTCCTGAACACTGGTATTTACTGTGATTACTTAAAGCATACTTCATGTTGCAGTACAGTCTTCTAAAACACTTCATAACAGGCAGCACATTACATATTTCTTACTCATTAGACTGCAGAGCACACCAATGCTTACTTCCCAGCATGACCTGATAAACACAGAACTCCAACCACAATTACAACACAAGGTACAGAAATTGTGACCAAGTTCTTTGGTGATGCATATGTGGGCATAGTTCAAATTGCTACCTTTTGTTATCTGACGGTCATTCAGTTTTCTTCGAGTCACTATGGCCTTATTCAACTTAATATTGGTTTGAGTCACACAAATTGTTAATTTTTTCCAGTGTTCTGTTTGTAATCATGTTTCAGCATAATCTGAAGATCCCCAATAAGTCACTTTTAAATTTTAACCTTTATCAGCCATTGTCATGGCTTACACAGAATACATGTAGATGCACTCATATACCGCTAAGCCATTAATCCCAGAGTCGACAGGTTCATATCCCATATGAAAAACATTAACTAAAGGTTGGAAATACTGTTACACAAGGAACCATGTTCTGTAATATTAATAGATTATTACATTACAAGATATCCGTCTTCTGGGTTATTGCGCTGTGTAGTCTGGTCGATGTTAACCAATGTTTCAGAGGTCATACTGCCTCCGTCATCAGGGCGATCGCCCTGATGACGGAGGCAGTATGACCTCTGAAACATTGGTTAACATCGACCAGACTACACAGCGCAATAACCCAGAAGACGGATATCTTCATACTCACCGCTGTGAGAACCTCAAGTCTTACATATTACATTACAGCTTCATAACACACAAATATAGATACAAAATACAAACTGTGATACAGAGTAACCTATGTAGAACATACATTTTACTTGCTTACTCTTGAACTGCTTTTGCACTGAAAAGTGCTTGAACAGTGTTCTCTGTCTGCATCAACGAAGCAGAATACTTGGATATTTTCCAATAGGAACTTAAGTATTTCCACATCAGTTGAACAAAACTTATTTCCAAAAGATGTAACTGAGCTACAACCCATCAGTATTGACACCACAAAACTAGAATATGATCTAATAATGTTTGCACAATTCAGAGGTTGGTGTTTTGCTTGGCATGCACAGTGAATTTTTTGTATGAATTCATAACAGTGGATCATTGTTTTTAGTGCAAAGTCTGTGGTTTCATAAATACACAAAGAAAACTGAAAACTTATAAATGCTGTGTGGGATTATGTTTTTTTGAGTGAATATGTAAATGCTTTACAGTGAAAGTTAGCTCTCTTACTCGTGCAAGTTTTCCAAACATATCGTAACATTGTGCTTTATTAAGCTAAAACAAAGTATGTGTGGAAGGAATGAACTTGATAAATGTAGTATTAAATGACTTTAAATATGTGATGTTAAGTGAAACGTGGTAGTCGATAGCTACAGATAATATGCAATATTTAAGTTTCATGTGAAGCTTGTGAGACATTGAGAAAAGCCAACTATGATTAACTTAATCCAGGAATATTTTATAGTGACTTACTTCATGAAGATAAAGGGACTTAATATGTGACAATAAATTAGGCAAAGAAGGGAAGACCAAGAGTTATTTATTTACAAGTTGTATAGAAAAGACTAAAGTTACCACAGGTAATCTAGTATCCCATACTGAATTTTAAAAGCTCAGTACACTTGCACTTTGGGCCAACAGTACTTTTAATTAAAGTCGTTTACTTTGTTATGCTGTAGGTTTAGAATAAGAGTATGCACTGCTGCCGGAAATGCAATGTAAGGAAGGTCCAAGTACTGGCATGTTCCAAACTTTCTCTTCATTTTTGTCTTAGTTAGATGACTGTACCAGAGGACCAATTTTTTTTTCATTTCCAAACTATTCCATTTGATATCTGAAATAGAACTGCAGTTCTGCAAGGCAAGACTCCCTCTAGGAACTTACACATTTCAGAAGAAATCATATAATGCCTGATTTACTAAAAACATGGAAAGTTAGCATACTCTGAAATAAATGCTAAAATAAGCCCCCCCCCCCATTCTGCACAGTATCATCATTACAGTTGCTGCCCTTGTCACAAACTGAATTTTTCGCCATGTATATAGCACATTAACCTCACAGTTAAAGCACAGGAGTGTTCAGAACACCTATAAAAGGTCGCATTTGCATTTGCTGTAACATTTAGTTATTACATGACTCTGGAATGTGGTTATCCTGCATTATGCCTGATCCATATATTTAAATATTTTGCATATATTTTTGGTTGTAATCAGTATTAAAAAAATAAAATACTTTTGGCAGTGTAGTTCATTGTCTGTGGATGCAAATATGCAGAGTTATTCTTGCAAGTTAATGTTCACACAGAAGAATGGCTCTAGCCTACAACTGAAGTTTTCCCAAGAACATTGCACATGACACTGGATAAAACTTTTTACTAAAACATAGGTGTGGTATATTACTCATTAATGCTTACTGTAAATGAGATCAGGAAGCACTTCAATTGAATTTATTATCAGTGGCAGCACAATTACTAAACTCTGTTAGTTTTTGTTATCAACTTTTACTTTCTTGTCTTTGGTCTGTAAAAATGTCAGCAGTATTACTCCACTGATCTGAGCAAAAATCTAAGACTACACTAAGGATAAGAAAATAACTTTACAAACTTCCATAATAAGCACCAGCCATCCATTTCCTATTCTACTAATAAAAAGTATGGCAAAAATTTACTTCATTTTGATTATGTAACATCTTTAGGCTGTGTACCTCATGTGGTTGGTTGATTTAATATACAAAATCTAGGTCAAACATTCTTGAAACAAACTTTTAGACAGCCTGTTTGAAATCAGAAGTCCAGGGTTGAGGCTGGGATTTCTTGAGTCCTGAATGGATTTAAAATTACAGTCCCTTAATTAAATTCAATGTTGGTCATCTAGAAATTTAGGATCGAGTATTGTGATCCCACTGCACCTATTTCTTTAATACTCCATATGTATAAATTAGCATCATATTTGCTGTTATTTAATTTTGGACTGACTGCATAAAACAAGTACTTGATTGTGGCGTACCATTCACACTGAGGTAAACTATATTTTTACGATATCCGGACGGATGGAGAGGCGGACAAAAAACAAATTAAGAACTTCTAATTGCACTGCCACACAATGTTTATTTATCAACTAAAACTGTATAGCAGTGTTTCCCAAAATCTATTATCACATAATGTCTCTCCTTACATAATCCAGCAACTGTGCATAGATATTTTAGCATTCTTTGTATTAACAGAAGGAAATGTTTCTTCTTTTCTTTTTGTACATTTATGGTCGTGGTGATCTCTGTTTTTACTTGGGGACAAAATCAGGTTTTGGATTATCAATTATAATATAAAACTGCTTTTTAGAAAAGGTTGACACACACCAGAGGAATTTATCTGTGAAGCCCTTGGGAACATTTAAAGTAACAGCAAATTATATGGGGCACTGTTTGGGAATCACTGCTATGCCAGTGTTTTTCAGTTACAGAACATTGTTTTCTGTTGGTAAATTGTGGGCAATTCATGGAACTACGTAAATTGTAATTCTGTAAAAATAATAATATTCGTAACATATGTATATATATAACTCATTCTAAATTGTTCTAAGTTTTTAAAACTGAACACATCTGGCCACACAGTGGCATATTTGACGACCATATACTTACTGAATTTCAGGTCTTGTATGCAGAAGGTTTGTAAGTTGTGATGACAGATTAGAGGACAATACGTTTAGGTGTCCATAAAACTTGAGTCTAAGTTGACTGAATTTTGTCATACTTTATATTGAAGTTTATTTTATCCTGCAATCTTAAGATGTTCAGCTAACCGTAACACCCTTTTTGAAATTGTTCATATGCACAGACTTCTTCCATTCAGAGGATGGGGGAGTGACAGCTGCCAATTACTCCCCGGCACCTGTGTTCTGATGTAATACTTTTAACATGTTACAAAGCCTTTCTAAGAATCTTTTGAGCAGCCCTAATCAGTGGTGTCAATGAACCAAGATCCATACAGTTTTCTAAAAAAGGATGATTCAAAAGTTCCTCTGCTGTAGCCCTCTTGTCCACATCCACTTGTAGACAACGATCCAGAAAATTCTATAAAGAACAAATTGACTAATAACTAAAAATCTGTGAATAACAATGATATTACTGCATTAACTCACAAGACACAATAACACGTTTGTACTGAATACAATAAGGCATCCGATATCTAACACCTTTGCATAGGGAATCACAGTGTTAATGTTAATCATTTTATGGCTGAACTTACTTGAAATTCAGGAGAGAGGGACTTCCACCGTGGTATTTTTGGTCTTCCAATGGCTGCAATGAGGTACAAGGCTCGCAGGGGTGTTTCCTTCAGATATGGAGGTTCACCTTCAATCATTTCTATTGCCATAATTCCCAGTGACCAAATATCCACTTTCTTGCCATATTGCTTTCGTGTTACAACCTAAAAGAAAGGCGAGGGATTTGAAATGTAAAAATAATGTGGAAGTGTGGAATTCGCTTAGAGGAATTTAACAAACCATATAAAGCAACAAGCAGTACAGACAAGTCCCTGGCTAGTATTCAAATTTTTCCCTCCCAAATACAAATCATAAGTGGTATCTACTATAAAATGTCTGTAGTTCTAACACTCGGAATAGTGTTCAAGAACAGGTGCAGCAACATTATTCCAGTTGCTTGTAATGTCAGCAAAACTAGAAGTAACCAAATTAACAAACCTCCGGTGCCATCCAGTATGGAGTTCCGACCATCGTCTGCCTTTTCTCATCTCCTACAATATTGGCACAAAAGCCAAAGTCAGTAACTTTCACACTGCCATCCATACCAAGCAGGACATTATCAGATTTGATGTCTCGATGAATTATACCCTGAAAATATAAAAAGTGAACTGCGTGGAAATAGCAGATTTCTCAAGACATGTTATTTTCTGTAGCTCAGAAATTAATAGAATAGTGAGTGAAATGTAATATCACATGGTATTACTTGGTAAATAGGAATCAAACAAAAAAAATCTCTATTCAATCGAAAAGAGAAAATTTAGCTTTTTCTTTTGTAATATATTCCCATGTACAGTTATTACAATTTGCTGTGATGGTGCATACAATATTTGTTTTCCCTCTGCTCGTATTTGTAACAACAGAACTCAGTGGAATTTATGAATCACCTGTATATACATCAAATTTGCTTATTAATTTTATGACAAATTTTAAAGCTTACCAAGGATACATATAAAAATGCTTATACAACATATCACGTAAAGTGTTAAGTGTTCCTGGTGACAGAATGTAGTGAAGTCTTCTCTGGTGATTAGTTCTGCGAGAATAGCGTTGTAAACAGCAGTTTTTGAGACTGTCTGTGCCTCCCATCATCATTCTCCAGTTTTGGACTAAAATGCCAATCTTGTGCAGTTGATCACCCAAGAAGACTTAACTGCACAATATGTATCAATGTCATACTTACTTTTACATGAAGGAAACTGACAGCCTTTAAAACCTCTTTGCACACAGCAGCAATCTGTCCCTCCTTCATGACAGTCTCAGTTACTACATCAGTCAGTGGCCCACCATCGAGCAGTTCCATTATGACCTGTAAGGGATGTGAGAACTGAATCAAAATTACAGTGAAGATTATGTTTTTACGTTAAGGTTATGCAATGGCAGGTACGCATTATTTTAATTCAGCAAAACAAAACAGGATTTTGAAACGTTGCTGTGCTAATAACCATATTACCTGAAAATCATCATCTAGGTACTAGATAATTTTCTTCGAAGTGCCTCAATAAATAAATTAAACACTGTTAGCAATTCTGAACATCACTGACAATCTGTTATGTATGGAAAATTATAGGGCACTTCAAAATGCAAAAATTTGTTATTTCAAGTTTACTATATTCTGTTGCGATGTTAAAACTTTAAAAAAAAATATTGAAAATATTAAACTGTTATACTGATCACAAATGTGATAAGAAGACTCAGTCTTTATTTGTAGAACTCATTGCGTTAAGACTAAAAGCAATTAAAATGTTTTTATGTAGGGAGTTGGACAGAAAATGAATGTCGCTACATAATATTTCTCAATAAAACGATCTGAACGTTGCAGTCGCTTCTAAGAATGACGACTGTATGTTTCATATAATTCATGTACGAGTGCCATGCTATACAATGTAATATTAAATTTATAAATACCCAGAGATGATCATGAATCAAGTATGCATCAAGGAAATTAACAAGGTTTTCGTGATTAAATTCCTTCATCACTCTTATTTCCATTAGTATCAGTTCTTTCCGTGGCTGTTTTGAGAGATCAATGTCCTTGACGGCCACACGGTGATTGGTGATGGTGTCGGTAGCTATGAACACAGTTCCAGAAGCTCTGCAAATCAGAAACAAAGCCCCAGAATGTGATTACAACACACGCTTATTGCTTCTTAAAACAATGAATGTAATAATCAGCAGTCTTAGACCTGGATTAGTAACATCATATTAATGACAGTATTTTTAGCAACTCAAAATTTGTGTGTAGAGCCCCTAAATGAAATCCCAGGCCCAGTCTTTTTCACAGTATCTCCTGGAAGGTTTGTTCATTAGCAATACTTTTCAACCTACATACGAACATCTTCTGCAACACACGTGGAGAATGTAGATTTAGTAATTAAATGAAAAAACACAATTTCAAACTATTGTCACATGTACTACAATAACTACTGTTGAAAAAATGTAATTCTTAAATTCTTAATTAATACTTACTATTAGCAGCTCCTTGACCATTTGTAAGAAAAAGAAATAAAATTGAATTAACTGACACTACAAGCTAGTGGGAAAGGGAGGTGATATGCAGCTACTGAATTACACACCACACATTCACAGAGTTTTCTGGATATTGAATGCTTCAATCCTGAAGCAGGAGACAGCAATTTCCTCTGAAATGTCAGTAATATTTCAAAAGCTTTACCCACAATACTACATATGATATCCACCACAGTGGAAACTTTAAATCTGAAACATTCACTTGAATCAAAAACCTCCAGATATATTTCTTGGAATATTTAGATGATGCCAACATTAAGAAGTGGCATTTGGAACAAATACTGCCAAAAAGGTCTTCCTGGTCAGTCGTCAGCTGCACTTTACATATGCCGCAACACAATTGATAAAGGTGAAATGAGAGCTCAGAGTGGTATGCCGCATATAATGCAGTCCTCTGTCTATCATATTAGGACTTTCTGTAACTAAGGAACCAAATGAAGGACACTAATATCCATGCATGTGAATCTAAATCTTAACTGTATCGGGTTTCAGCTAGTCTGTGTAACAAACACGAAATACACATTCTGAGATCTAAAGAATAAATTATATCGTATATATTTTCTTACCCTGCACCCAGTTCTTTGCTTCTTTCAAACCTTTTAGAAGGATCACCTGGATGACATATTCTTCTTAATTCAGCAAATACTTCTTCATCAGTCATTTTCTGCATAACAGTTTCTTTCTTTCTTAGTATTGGACTGTCACTTTCCATATGATGTGATAAATCTCCAGTTTCAATATGTATTTTATCCTGTGCTAATGTCAAGTCCTTCAAAGCCTCATCAAGAGCCTCATGTAAATGTTTACTTTCTTCATTCTTATCCTGAAAATAGAGCAGTACAGTTCATCAACTATCCCAAAACCTCAATCACTCACTGAGATAGTTGTTCAACTGATCAAGAAATTCCCCACCTTTTCAGAACCCAAAGCATCATTACCACGTCAACAAGAGCCTGCTGCCAGTCCCTATCTTCTGTCACATGAATCCATTTTCCATGCCCTCCCACCATATTTTCTTAAGATCCATTTTACTATTATCCTCCCATCTAAACCCAAGTCTTCCATATAGTTTATTCTATTAAAGTTGTTGACCAAAATTCTGCATGTATTTTTCATCTCTTTCATGCATATTACATGCCATGTCCATCACATCTTCCTCACTTTGGTGACTTTAATAATTATTAACTCCTCATCAAGCTGTTTTCCTCAGCCTCCTGTCTCTTCATCCCTCTTAGGTCCAAATGTATATGACATTTACATACCTTTAATGTAAGTCGTGGTGGTTTCTTAGGTGGTACCGGAGGCTTCTTCTTCTCTGTAATGGTCTGTGGTGGATTCACTTGTCCTGCCTTAGGAGATGCTTCTTTATTCTGACATACAGATTTCTCATCTTTATTATGCCCTGTAATTTAACATATAAAGTAAGGAATGCCTCTTCTGCTTGAAACTATTGTAGGCCAGCCTTATGAAACCAAATCAAAAAATATTCTGCAAATGGACTAGGACGTCTTTAGTTTTAGTAGTAATCTTCGGCAGAAGGCCTTTGTATGTTTGGACTCTCACTCTGATACTAGGCGAACTTTACACATCTAAAATATTGGTATTTTTTCACGTTTAAAAAGCATCACAAAAAATACATACAAGTTAACGGTTACAATTAACTATATCATGTCAAATTTCATACACTTAGGTCCAATAATGTATAAATTATCACAAAAGAACCTAAAGTAAATTGCACACATTTCTGAATCTTATTTTGAATGGTGCTCCCACAGCATTCATGGCAATCCCAGTTCTGTTATGTACAGTTCAGGGAGAATCCCTTTTTATCGGGGCTGTGGAGTTGGTACTAAAATCTCCGACTTCAACCGCTTCATAAAATGTTAATATGTATTAATAATGGTAAACCTACTAAAATGGTAAATGGCACCGTAAGAGATGTCATCACCACCACGTGAATCATCAGCTTACATTTTACACTTATAGCATATATTTAAATATACGTCTAATGGTTATTGCAGAAATCGGTTGATTAGTAGACAGTTTGTATTCTTAAGGTACCGGAGCCAAAGTTACAAAGCATTATTCCCACACCATGTGGCTCTATGAGTCATTGAATCTCCCTAAGTGTGAGGCTGCCAGCAGCTCACATGGTATAGAAACTGTTCTTTAAGATTTTATATTGAGGTCAGAGTTGGTACATTTTTACTGACTCCAACTCCACAACTCTGATTTTTATGCACCTGCATTGTTTACAATCCATGCACTTAATCTACTGCACCACACCCACTGGAAGGTCAGCCAGAGTGAGAGATCATATGCCAAAAAAAATACCTAAAATATTTTCAATTTCTTCCGATTCTTCTTTTATTGCCTCTTCTGTGACAAGTGGTTTGAATGTCTCATTGGGCTTCTTCTTAATTGAATAATTATAGTATTTTATGGCTTGGATTGCAGCTCCTGGATTTTCATTTTGTTCTTTCTTTCTGTAAAAGTAAAAATATTACATCTTTTTAAATAAAACGTTTTAACGATCTAGCTGGCTTACCATGTATAGACTCTCAGTTTCAATTGTCCAAATCTGTACATTATCCTACTCAGTGACATTACTTGTACCTCATAATACAGTGGTATGGGCAGAAATGTCTCCTTCATCCGAAGTTTATTTGCTGAAAACATGATTAAGCTAAAATTCTGACTGCCTGGTATTACCAAGCCACTTACGTTATTTGAGTATTCAGTAACTTTAACCATGGTGTTGGAAGACCTTCCAATTGACCTGTTTCTTCATTCCAGCTCACATGAAATTCATGGTGAACATTTGTTGGTAAACCAATTTCAGAAACACTATCAGCAGATGGGCGCGTCTTTGGGAAGAATTTTCCGAATATTATACTCATTTCTACTGTTGATAAATGTGTGTCATCTGAAAAAAACAAACTGAATTTATGTTTTATCTACAGTGTCACAATGATCACCCTGTAAATAATTTATCAGTGCAATAATGATCATAAACATTATTAAATCTACAGCAATTTATAAGCATACATTTCTACAAGTGTAGTTGTACTTTAATAGATAATAACAGGTTCAGAGTTAAACTCTTTAGGTTATATCCAACACATCAGTACATATCTAATCTATTTGACATGTCATGAGTGTACTTCAAGTAAATATACATATACATTAATCCACTTGGTTAGTAAAAATACGTACTGACATGTGTCTTGTAAAGCTTTAGCAGTAATTACAAAAGGTATCTAATTCATTCACTTCCTGTCTTTCCTCACTATACGCCACAGATTACATCCTATACCATCATCGAACTTCCCCTCGCTCCCTTGGAGAACATACAGAAGATTTGTTGGCCTAAGAAATTGTTATCACATGTCACAGATGAAACTAGTAGCAACTCCAGTTAGTGCTATGTAATGACAGCCAGTTCCTGCATGAGCTGTTTGTATTGAAAACTACGATTCAAGGCTTCAACTGTCTAACGCCATTGAACAGATCCCGTTAGTTTAGTCACTCACCTAGTCAAGAAATTGCAGTTTGGCATTTTGTCTTGACCAGTATTCTAGCTTCGAATTGGCGTCAGATGGTGTAAACTGAGGCATTTATCACTAATTAACAATACATGGCTATTTAGAAGGAAGATGAGTTATGATTTTATGTCCTGAGTTTCTAGTCACGTATAGGTGTGATGTTTTCCTTTTGTATACATTTTTGCACATGATTGTGTTCTGTTGTGATTCGTGCATTGTTTCTTATAACACATGCCGCGAAGGAAGAAATGTTTTGCTTGTCGGTGCAAGTCAGCCCACAGGGAAACAGACCTGAAGTATATCAGCTTTCCCAGGAATCCAGCACGGTATATCTGTTGTACGTTTACTTCGCATTGCCTTCATTCATGTTCATAGTAGTGTTTTGTTATTTTTATGGCACGTTGACTTCGCATTGCCTTCATTCATGATCATAGTAGTGTTTTGTTATTTTTATGGCAATTTACTTTGTGATAATGATCGTAAGAAATCAGTTCTGTTCCATTTTCATGGCGTTAAACAGCATGTAACAGAAGAGTGCCAAGAATGTTTACAAAGACCAAACAAGATACTTGTGTGGAATGCATGACCGATAACAGATGCAAGATTTGAGGTTTATATTCCAAAAATGAAATTCTGTTTAACTTATGTGTGTTACATTTTTGGATGAAGCGTGAAACGTTGGTCAGTTTATGACAGACGACAAGGTGCAATATCCCAGAAGGCAATCATTTTCAATTTCTTAAAATTAACTTCTTGTGCGGGAGGGGGTTATGTTGGATGATAGTTAATGTTGTTACCGACTGAGCTCTAGAAGTGGCTCGAATAGTGTTACAATAACAATTATTACCACTTGATCACTCGTATGGTAGTTCTATGACATGCGGTAAGATGGCAAAATACCTGACGTCGAAAGTCATGCTCATACCAACGTTTTACATTAAGTTTCCAATCTGTGATACTGATAACTCCTATTTTCCCATTAGAGAGAATTTGTGTGTCTGTAGTTGGTAAGTGAAGTCTCAGATTAAACCCTGAACTACCGTCATAATCTGTGGTAACAACCGCAGTGGCCTAGCCCAGGTTCCATCAGGAGAAGGTGTGGGCTGAATTTTTTTTCGTAATTAGTACGTGTTTTGTTGAGGTTGTAGTTTGGTTTGTGATACTTACAGATAAGCAATGGTAAGTAAAGAAGTATTGATTTCCGATGCCAAAAGTGGACATTAATGCTTGACAATAGCATGTAGCCTTGCAGGGTTTAAGTTGTCATTTGTATTCTAAACGTGATAGTTTTTAAATTAACAAAATAGCATATTATTACTGTTTTTCTACCATATTCTAACAAACCATGGTATTTGATATGAACATTTTCTAAATTACAACGTTGATCAGTTGTAAATTGGCGCAGGATATTTGATTAAATGTACAGGATATGTAATTGTAGCAGTAATTCAAGTGTAACCACATACAAGTTACCACATTTCTGCTAATAAATCAAGCAATTTATTATGAGTGATGGAATATATATATATATATATTCATTTTATACACATTTGTAATCAGGTTTGCTGTTTAAGGAACTAGATCCAATTTCCATCAGTTATCTTTGGAAGAGCTGGGATAGCTGTTTCGTGGTTTGATTCTTAACAAAGGGAAATTATTTTCTCTTACTTTATTCATACCCACACATACTCTGGCATCTACCCAGCCTCCTATCCAGTGGATATCATAGGAGTAAGGCAACTAGTGCATAAAGTAAACCACTTACATCCATCTAGTACCATAATGTGTGGAGCATTACTTCCATATTTTCTCAGCACTGTTATGGCACAGTGCTTCATATAGTTTCATTAGGTTTTGTAATTTTTAATTTTTGTTTCTGTTCTTTTGTTTAATTTAAATTCTGTATCCAATTTCAGGCTGCAACATTACGGCCATACTTAACTGCTGTTAGGCATACCTTGACTGCTGCTATGTGTTTGGATAACTTTTCATCCCAGGTTGTGGAAAGGCATAACAAACCAGAAGTGGAAGTCAGGTTAGTGAAGAATGTGGTGGTTAGTTTTAGCTTGGAAGTTAATTTTGTGTGCTCCATGAAAAGTGTAACATGAAGCTGCATTTACATGAATACATGTGAGATTTCAGGTTCTCACAACCATGAATATGAAGATGAGTGTTTTCTGGGCTGTGGCATCATGTTGTGATCACCCTGATGACGGAGGCAGTAAGCTCCTCTGAAATGTCGGTCAATTTGTGCCAGACCACACAGTGCAACATCCCAGAAGACAGTCATCTTGATGCATATAATTTGACAGTTTCAGGTGCATTTATATCCAGCAGGCAGTTTATCCCCATATCTGACAATGTAAATTTAACTTTGTGTCTGTTGAAAAATATCTTGGAGAGGTATGGGCTCGATTCAGATGGATTGTAATAGGATCCAGGTGCTGGCTGTTTTGAATATGGTAATGAACCTTGTGATTTTATAAAAGGAGGGAGTTTCTTGACTGTCTGATTAGGTATCATATTTTAAAGGAAGACCCTGCATTATGTACATAGTTACATTCTGAACGTTTAGAAATAAGATATATTGTGTAACATCAGTAAAAACTAGAATTTATAAAATTAAAAAAGTTATCATTGTAATGGGTATTTGTAATGTCTAAAAATGGTGAAATACATAATCTTGCAGTCAATTGTGTGTGTGTGTGTATATATATAGTTTATTTAATGACTTTTTCAGTAGCTTAGACTATATAGCATCAAATGAGAGGATGCTTGCAATGTCTAAAAATGGTGAAATACATATATATATTATTTAATGACTTTTTCAGTAGCTTAAACTGTATAGCATCAAATGAGAGGATGATAGTGAATTGGAACGGCTGTGGAAGGAAGCAGTCATGGCCTAAATTAAAGTACTGTTCTGGCATTTTCCTAGAAACACTGAGGAAAACCATGAAGAATCTGATCGTGAATAGCTCAATGTCTTTAGCATTGTCTTGGTTTTTTTGAGTGCACACAGGCATATTTTATTAAACGAAATGCCTTTACTTTTTGCTTAATGTGGTTGCAGGCTGTTGTGATCATGGTAATGAATCAAGTTCTGTGAAAGGTGGGGATTTTGTTAAGTAGCTGAGTGTGCTGTTGGCTTTTGCGCCCCACACGAACTTTCCTTCAGAATAAAATGTTTTGTGGTGTTTACATTTTTCTGCAGGACTAGTAAAGAGCTGCTTCTGACTCCTGTTGTCATCAGTCGAAATGAAAAGGAGAAAGTTCTCATAGAGACGTCAATCAACTCTGTAAGGATCAGCATAGCTGTTAAGCAAGCTGATGAAATTGAACGCATCCTGTGTCACAAATTCATGCGCTTCATGATGATGCGTGCTGAGAATTTCATTGTTCTGAGAAGGAAACCTGTTGAGGTAAAGGTCGTTTATTTAAACACTCGCATAATGGTCGAACTTATGAGACGTGTAATTTCATTTTCTTTTTCGTTCCTCTTTTTAAATATATTTGTTGCCAGTTTCGTGGACATTCACATGTTTTGTCATTGTTTAGTAGTTTGCTTATGAATTGATAGTTTAACATTTTCAGAATTTGTTTTGAAGTGTGTAGTCGACCGAAAATTAGAATACTCATAACTGATAGTGCTGATGTACGAAGTTTGTGGGAATTCTTCGATCTATGATGTTTCCGCTTTATCTGGGTCATCTTATTTGCAGCATATAATATGCTCTGGTTCCCAGAAAATATATTAAACTAGCAAAGTGCCTGCCGGCAGTGTTACTCTTAGCATTTCTGTTCTCTTGCCAGATGGGCAAAGACCAAAAAGGGAAAAGGATCTTAATTGAAATCATTACACATATTTGAGATGATTTTGTTCATTAAGGAGATGGAACTTTTTCTGCATGAGTTATGAATTCTTATCACTTGAATAAAAGAGAAGAAATTTCAGAATTTAGTTTGCTTAGGATGACATTGTATATTGTGGGTGCTTTATTTGAGTTTTCCTCTGATAATAGCTGTGTCGTTACCTATTTATAACAGCTACATTTTGAGTCGCTTTCTATAAATTCAGTAATCGATTAGCAGTAAAGGAACGACACTCAAAACTTTGGATTTGATTGTAAGTCCAGAAAGAACAGAGCATTTCTTCTGAGCTGCAATGTTCGCAATGTGTGTTTAGAAATGATTTCTCAATGTTATTTTTGTATTTTTGTTTACAGGGCTATGATATCAGTTTCCTAATTACTAACTTTCATACTGAGCAAATGTATAAACATAAATTAGTTGACTTTGTAATTCATTTTATGGAGGAAATTGACAAAGAAATTAGTGAAATGAAACTTGCTGCAAATGCACGTGCAAGAATTTGCTCAGAAGAATTTCTGAAAAGGGTGAGTAAAAAATATGTTGTACGTTGCAAGGAAGATAATGTAGATAAGCTGTTGTCAGGAAATAGTACTAGTAATAGCACACCTCACATACGAGTCAAATCTTAAATATTCTTTGGGATTTCAGAAAGGATTTTATGAGATTGGCCTAGTGACTGGTAGTACTTTTCTTGAAGATTTAGGTCTTTCTATTCATTTTCCTAAGTTTAAACGACATGTAATCTTTGTAATTAAATCAGTAAGGTTGAAATGAAGATGGCATGTAGCCTGGATCAGGGAAACATGTTATGCATACAGGGTTTTGGTTGGAAACCTTTATGTAAAGAGATCATTTGTGAAACAGTGGCATACTTGGAAGAGTAATATTAAAATGAGTCTCAGAGAAACATCGGTTGACGTCTAACAGGTTACGTGGTGCAACATCCTGGAAGACGGCCACCTTCATTCTTGTCGCCGTGAAACCTGAAATCTTAAATGAAAAGTTTACTTGAATGTGAGTCTGGAAAGATTCTTTCTGAGTTTCAGTCATTTTATTATTTCTGAAATTTCTGGTGTGGCATCAAACTTTTGTTCCTTGCCCTCCATGCTCGAACTGATGTCGGGCTGCGAAGGCGAGAGACGAAGGAATGGGCACGGAGCGAAGGCCACGTTGCATCGTCGGATAAACATGTCTCAGTAAACTTCAGCGCTCGTATTATGATTGTCATGGAGTTTACTCTAATTTACGTGAATATCAGCCACCTCCATATCTTAAGGTAGATCTGGGACGTTGCGATGTAGGTACAAGCTAGAAGTACTTCTGAGAGGCTGTTTCTGCTTTCAGTTCTAGTCATCGTGGAAATTGTATGAATGACTGAAGAACATCTTGCATCTGTACACCCATTCAACAACCTGAGTGAATCCTGAATGGAGCATGATTCAAGCAGAATTTCAAAAATGCAACCAGAAGATGTGTCTGTTTGAATATCAGTGTTAACTACAAGAAGGCCAGCACAGCAGTGGGCCATAATATTTTATTTTTGTGTATTATTATTCTTGTTATAATTCCAAACAAGTAAAATTTAGGTAATCTCAAATCTCCAGTTCCAAAGTCATTAAAACATGGAAGACCCAAGGTTAGTGTCCTCCCCCTCCCCTCCTCCTGCTCTCCTCCTCCTGCTCTCCTCCTCCTCCTCCTCCTCTCCCCTCCTATTTCTCCTCCTCTTCCTCCTCCACCTCCTCCTCTTCCTCCTCCTCAAGGTGTAATCCATTTTAACACTGGTGAAATTTTGGGTCTGACTTTGAAACTTATTTTTTTTTATAGATCTGTGAAGATGAAATTAGCAAGAGCTGTTTGGAAGGGTTTGCAAGAATCTTGCGTTTGTTATGAGCCCAGGGACAAAGAGTCCGTTTTTTCCTTCACAGACGTAGGTGCATCAGGTGGACAAACGCAAGCACGCGATGTCTTACTGGCTTTCGTGCACAGTTACTTCTAAGTTGCGTATGTAGACGCATCTTTAATCTCCTCTGCCTTTCCCCGGTCACAAAGTTCAGGCTCTCGGAATTCTGCTTTAATGTTCGGTAGAGTAAAAGTACTCGGAGGAGGCTGGCTCTGCCTCGTGGGGTATTATATCTGTTAATGCGCTGAGAAATACATTTTGTGTTTTAGTACTTTCGTGTGGCGTTGTGTGTTTAATTTTATAGATTTTTACGTGCACTTACATACTAAGATAAACGGTCTGAATAAGAGGGCTGTCAACTTAATTATCATCGCCATTATGATAAAAATTAAATTTAGAAACGGCTTTGACTCTTACACAGACGTTTTGTGTTTTTAAATGAAACCACATCTCGTGAGATTTGAGGTTTTCACAGTGTTGATGGTGGTCTGGGTTTTTGCGCAGTGTAGACTCTTGGGCGGACTCCAAAACCCAGAATAATATCGTCAGGCGACATTTTCAGTGTCTCCGAGTTGAAACACCGAAGTGTTCCATAAACCGCCGCAATGCGTTAATGTCGTTACTGTAAGGCGAGACACGTGAGGCCGTCTGCAGAATGTAATCCTTGGACGCCGATGCCATTGATTTTTTAATATGTTTATGTGTGTAAATAAACTCTATCAGTGTTTTTTCATTTGTTATTTCATTTTAAAACCATAATGTGTTTATGCCCCACTCTGTACACCACGACTCACTGTGTATTTATCACAAAAAAGATTTTAAGACTCTTTATCATTATTAAAAACTTCTTAACTGCAGTCAAACTGAGTTATTTAATTTTCTGCAGATTTAGTCGTATGACGAATTGTAGAATGGGAACGGTAATAAGTTACGATGGGCAAAGACCACTGACAATGGGAATGCTAGCTCTCCAATTTTGACCCCTTTCGCGTGGTCTTGAATAACCGACAAGGACGGTAACTGGTTTGGAGATCGGCTCGTCTTCGTATCCATAATTAAGTGGGTCCGTGTTTAGGACCTGACTTTCCTGTTTTACATTTGTGGAGTACAAACCGCGTTAAAATGTTTTCTCATAATTAATTAATTTTTCCTCTCAGTGGTTCCACATTTGTAATATCAAATAATATCTTAAAAGGTTGCATGTACTTCATTTACATTTCCTACTGATTAATGATTTTTTTTGTGTCAGAATAAACAGAAATTATTTCCTTAACCAGCATTAAGCAGCTGGTATTTGAAACAGAGACGTATCATGTCTTGTTTACGGTATGGAATGAATATTGAAGATAGACGAAACTTCAGCTTCAAAGGGTTTAAACTTGGTTGGCGTACGTCAATAATTGCTTGTGGAGTGACGGCTTTATTGGCGTAATGGGATGAAGGTTTAATCATTCAACCTGTAACACAAAGTATATGTTAAACTTTGCAGCAGTTGTAATGGATGTAGGACCTGAAGATGGAGGCAGTGTGTTCCTCTGAAGCGTTGGTATTAAGTCTGCACAGTATTATGACCCAGAATATCAAATCAATATCTTCACTAATGTGGGAGCCTCAAATCTGATTTATATAAAACGTCGGGGACTTAATATGTCGGCTTTCTTCTAGAATAACCAGTCGTAGTTGGAGGTTGTTAATAAATGTAACCAGCAAAATGCATAGTTATTAGCATTATGAGCTGTCTGAGAGTCTGCAAGG